CATTTTTAAAAATGACGACATCCCGGGCTTCTGCTCTGTCGACCCCACGTCACACATGGAGTCTCTCTGATTGGTTGACGCGTCGGGCTGCAAAAGTTCAGATTTTCCAATTTCAGAGATTTGCGCGTCGAACGCTCAGATCGTTCAAATCGTTCAAATCGCGCTGCTCTAATCATGCTTGAGGCGCCGCAGCACTTCCCGATGTTGCTTGAAGCGCGTCCACCATAGACTTTGCATGTAAACCTGATGCTCCTGATGCTGAAATCGTGTTTGGTATGAACGCAGCATTAGAGGCAAAGTGGACAGCAGTTCTGTGGTCAGACAAACCCAATTTTGAAATTGTTTGTGGTAATCCTGGATGCCATTTCCTGCCTCTCTGATGATATGGGGGTGCTCTAGTGCCCCTGACATTAGCTACTTACACATCTGAATTTCCAACACATTAGCGTGTATGAAAAATTATTTAAGTAGCTGTGGTGGCCATTTTGAGTGGATTTGCCTCCAAAAGTTAATCGGAACAWCTGTTGATTATTTTCTGAGTTTTTATTTAAACCTGTCAACTGGCTTGTAAGATTTTCTGCTAACAGACAAACACAAACATGTGGAAAAGACAAAAAGCTCTATACACACTTGGACTTTGGTTCCGTGTGATATAAAAATGTGTTAAACATGATTTTGTTTGTACTTGCACACAGAACAGTTTTTTCATCTTTCTGATGAACTTTTTGTTGGAAAAAAGTAATAAGTTTGTGTTTAGTTTTCCTAAACTGTTCAACTTGCCTTAGAGTTTTCTTGAAGCAAAAGTTTTTATTTTTTCTCTTTGCAGGGTGGGATTTTCCTGCCTCCGCTTAGAATATAAACTCTTCAGCACCATGGAGAGCTCAAGGTCTGACGCCCACCGTTCTTCGGCATTTTGGTCGTGACAAATGCCCCTGTAATGGTATTTTCTCTGACAGACAGTGCAGTGTGACAGCTTGGTGCTGAGTGAATTTGCTGAAATTTGTTGAAGAGGCTGGAACTAACGTGTGAGCTAAAAGAAGCAGAAAAAACTTGAATGTAAGCTAAAACAAAACGCTATGAAAACAAAAAGTAAAAAACACCAGCTAAAAGCTAAAAATAGCTAACAGCACAATGTAGCAAAAAAGGTGGCTAAAAGCTAATAGTAACAAAAAGCTAGATAAAACCATCAAAAGGCTAAAAGTACATATATGTTTCTTTCATCAGTTTTTTTTATTATCACATCTTGCTTTAAAACTGAAATCTGATCAATGTGAATAATTTTTMCACAGATACTAAAAAAAAAGCTCAGAAACATACTGTACTTACTTTGTTTGACATGAGGCTGTGATGCTTTCAAATGCCATGAAACCCATGAAAGAGCTGTGTCGTTGTAAAGGACGGCTCATTCTTTGTTCTGGGATAAAAAGCCAGTTTATTTTCAGTAAACCTCACATGCATCATCCTGCTCAGCTGCCTTTTATGACTAAAAATAGAATCCAACTAGTGGGCCATTTATTTCTCTGGAGTTAACAAACACTAAGGATGGCTATTTCTGAGCATCAGTTCTATTTACAAACACTTGAACTATTTTTATACCAATTTACAAGATTTAATAAAGTGTGGAAAAGTATGAGATTTATGTTTAGCCTTTTAGGTCTCGAGCAGACAGAGGGGCAAAAAGAAAAGAGGTKGTAGAAAAATATTAGTGATTCCAAATTTACTGAATGTTTTACAAGGTGGATACACACTCACCGGCCACTTTATTAGGTACACCTTGCTATGAGGTTGGACCTCTTTTGCCTTCAGAACTGCCTTAATCCTTTGTGTTATAGATTCAACAAAGTAATGGAAACATTCCTCAGAAAGTCTGGTCCATATTGACATGATGGCATCACACAGCTGTTGCAGATTTGTCGGCTGCACATCCATGATGCGAATCTCCCGTTCCACCACATCCCAAAGATGCTCTATTGGATTGAGATCTGGTGATTGTGGAGGCCATTCAAGTTCAGTGAACTCATTGTTGTGTTTAAGAAACCAGTCTGAGATGATTCCAGCTTTATGACATGGTGCATTATCCTGCTGAAAGTAGCCATCAGATGTTGGGTACTTTGTGGTCATAAAGGGATGGACATGGTCAGCAACAATACTCATGTAGGCTGTGGTGTTGCAACAATGCTCAATTGGTACTAATGGGTCCAAAGTGTGCCAGGAAAATATCCCCCACACCACTGCACCAACACCACCAGCCTGAACCGTTGATACAAGGCAGGATGGATCCATGCTTTCATGTTGTTGATACCAAATTCTGACCCTACCATCYGAATGTCGCAGCAGAAATCGAGACTCATCAGACCAGGCAACGTTTTTCCAATCTTCTCTTGTCCAATTTCGATGAGCTTGTGCAAATTGTAGCCTCAGTTTCTTGTTCTTATCTGACAGGAGTGGCACCTGGAGTGGTCTTCTGCTGCTGAAGCCCATCATCTTCAAGGTTCGACGTGTTGTACATTCAGAGATGCTCTTCTGCAATCCTCGGTTGTAACTAGTGGTTATTTGAGTTACTGCTGCTGTTCTATCAGCTCCAACCAGTCTGGCCATTCTCCTCTGACCTCTGGCATCAAAAAGACATTTACACCCATAGAACTGCTGGACCATTCTCTGTAAACCCTAGAGATGGTTGTGGGTGAAAATCCCAGTAGATCTGCAGTTTCTGAAATACTCAGACCAGCCCTTCTGGCACCAACAACCATGCCACGTTCAAAGTCACTTAAATCACCTTTCTTCCCCATACTGATGCTCAGTTTGAACTGCAGGAGATTGTCTTGACCATGTCTACATGCCTAAATGCACTGAGTTGCTGCCATGTGATTGGCTGAATTGACATTTGAGTTAATGAGCAGTTGGACAGGTGTACCTAATAAAGTGGCCGGTGAACTTGAATAAATATTTTGTGTTGTGCTGGATATGTTGTCTATTTAAGCCAGAAAAAAATCCACTATGGTTAAGCATTGAACATAACATATTAAAGTTTTATTCTATTCTATTCTATTCTATTCTATTCTATTCTATTCTATTCTATTCTATTCTATTCTATTCTATTCTATTCTATTCTATTCTATTCTATTCTGTTCTGTTCGGAAACAAAAGTTAGTTTTTTAGATAGCTCCTTTACAAAAACAG